GTTCCCATATTATTAGTATCGCTATTATTTTTCACTTCGAACTCTAATCTTCTTTTGTGCCGATTGTTGTTATCAGCAATATGAACTAAATTTAATGAGAATTTGAAGAAACTTGTGTTACAAGGGAGCAGGATTTCCGCATTTTTCACGGGATGAAAATGTAAAACGATATCTCATTGTTTGCATATACGCATCTTTCAGATCTGCACGCAAATGCAGTTGTTTCATCGCAATGCAAAGTTGAACAAATGGATGGTAGTAAGGAGAAATCGTTCAGCTGCAAATCACATTGACTCAAAACATGGGAACTGGTATATTAAAGCGTAAAACCTGATCAATTTAGACATTTATATTCAGTTCCGTAAAAAATAGCTATCTTCTAATGTACCCGTATGTCAAGTCTACCAGATTTAACATAAATCAACCACAAAAATTGCCCTATAAGAAAATTCTGCTCTTAGAAGTACCGTAATCTTGAACATACCAGGTCTTCATATAATAGAATATTCGAAATGACCTAACGGAAATATTCATAAAGAAATAAGTTAAAAGATCTTGGGCATCAGCCTGTTTCCTTTCTTGCTGTGCAGTTACGGTGTTGCGCTCATCACAGTAAGTTGCGCTCTGCTAATAGAATTTTTATCAACAGAGTAAACGCCGTGTGCTTTTACAAGGTGAGCATACGTTGTTTTTGCTGAGTATTGTCAATAGTGAAACAGTTAAACTGGCAAGCAACAGGAGTTTCGATCATTTAGATCTCCTTCAGGTACCGAATATCACTTGATTTTGAAATGCTTCACGAGGAATGTTTTCCTAAAAATTTCAAATCCAGATAAATTTAATATATATCTGTATGCAAGCCAGCTTTCAAAACTCTATTAAGGACAGCTGACTACAGCGAGATGATGGTGTACATATGAAACGTTGCTATTACTTGCGCCATTTGATAGTGGGCGTTCTCCAAAGGAGACGTAAATTTTACAATTACGGGGTACAGACAGCCCAAGCTTAAAACGTTACCTTTCCATTACCTTTAGTTGATACAATTCTCCTATCTGCGATTAGAAACTTGCCGCGAGGACGTAATTTATAGTTGAACACAGTTCTACTATTGACAAAAATTCAAATCGCACAAAGCGAGGTTTGTTGTTTTGCGGAATCTTCTCACATCAATTGATTCTTCACTACTGAAGAGCCATGCTCTCCACGACTGGTTTGATCCTGTTTGAATAACTGGGATACTTCAGTGTTTTGCACTTCGTCCATAAAAGTAGGTCATTGGTCGCTCACGACCAAGTCCTGTGGTTAGGCATTCGTGACTTTTACCTATATATCACTCCGGTGTATGTGGGCGTTTTGGTAAATGTTAAGAGTCACTTTCTTTTAATTGTGCAATGAAGTACGGCAGTTGAGGGTCTTAATAACATTTTCTTCACTCGGGCAGTAAGTGGTAGCAAAGCCAGATGGACCAGGAATAGACCGTAAAAGCTTGCTTTCCTTCTATCGTCTCACCTTACGAGCAGGGACATCTGGTGGGAGACAAATTTCTCATCAGTGTTTGCTTGATTGCACGAAGTGCCAACGTATTTAACAAAACGACACATGGCTTCTGGTTTTCTAGAAATAAAGTAAATCCAACTTCAGGATAAAATCTTTATTGAAACTTTGAGTTACAAAACATAACACATTAGAACGTTATACAACTTTAAAAAAAACTTTAAATTGAATCTCTTCAAAAACTGGCAAGATGTCCACTGCTCGTTGTACCCACAAAAATTGAAACAGACGTACAGTGTTTCTGGACATTCTCGTGTGGAACAAATCAACATAAAAAAATGGGATTCCGACTTCAAATTAGAAAATTCTTCAATAAGTTAAAATTTATAGATAGTCTTTTCAAAAAATGCATTTCGAAATTCGCGTAAGCCTTCTGCCTGTATCTAGTCAATGCCAGATCAATTTAGATAGAATGCAAGTCTAGGAGGTTGCCCTGCCTTCTGCTTTGCAAGCTGACAATCGCTTAAGGGCACGCGTGTCCTTATTTTGCCATCTTTAATTTAAACTACAAAGCAACTGGAGTTTTTTGCCTTTTGGTTTTAAACTGTACGTTTATAGATTAACAGGGCAAGATTAGCCGCCTATTGGAAGACGATATCAGGCTATCAGACGCAAGTTGTTGAGATGGCAATCTCGCGTTTCATTAATTTTTCCACACGCACTGTGTCTGAGCTGGCTGGAATTCTGCCTTTTTGGGCTAAACGAAAACTGATATTACGAGCATACCTAACAGGGTTGTAATGTGCACATACAGATACAGATATTTTTCGACATGGCTAGCAAGCTTCCTAGTTTTCAATTTGGCTTGCGATAGTCTTTTAACCAAGCCATAAACATCAATTAGCAGCCTAGATTTTGGCCGCTATTTTCGTGACAAAGTTATCTGACAGAAATACATCAAAATCAGCCTGTCCCCTGAGTTTTTATTGTGGAAGAATATCCAACTGTTCTACTTATTGTCCGTGTGTAGCATAAATTCTGGGAAATTCAGTTTTGTATACGGTCGTTTGTCCTACATTTTGGACGATCGTTTGAGCCCCGATTGAAAAACACTTTGTAACAATTTATCCTATTTGCAGTTTGGATTGCTGTTAAATTTTTACTACAGTGGACCTCCATATCCAAACGGAGATGAGAAGCAAACCAAAAGGTACAACATAGCTCAAGTTATGTGGACGGTTTCACCAAAATATTTGGGCAGTAATCGACCTAAGTTCGCATGATCTGTTTTGAACGATGTTTTGCGCTCTTCGTGAAAGCTTTTCTTTCTTTTCTATGGGAAGTTTAATGAAGCTTATTTTATTTGAAACGCCACAGGAACCGTTTGTCGTTTTTCCTGTCCAGTGCGCTGTGACGAGTTGCAGTCCAATAAAAGGCACCTTTGTACATTTTTGTGAAACGCCGTACAGATATAGAATTTGGATACTGTGTAATATACACCGCAACCGATGGAGTTTTGCGCCAGATTGGAGAAGCTTCCCACTTAGTCAGTAGCTTAGAGAATTGCGGTGTCAAATGCACAAACAACTAAACATTATATTCGGGCAACTTGACAATGGATTAATAACGAGTCGCTTTGTACAATAAGATACTGGCTAGTTTTGTCCACACTAGCCCGCGTACCCCCTTTTAGACCCAATGGAATACACGGGCTCCCACAGAATGAACAGCCTAGTGATAGTTTAAGTAGCGGCGATGGTCTTCACCCGGAAGCTTTTTACCTAAAGCCATGAAGACGATTCAAAGTGGATAGGTTTCTTTTCTGCGTACCTCTCAAATCCCATTTTTCCAGTCTTAAAAATGACAGAAAAAGCCCTGTTTAGCAGTTTTGAAAATCATACCACACTAAAAATTGTATCAGGAAACATTCTATAAGCCAAGTTGTAAACACACCGCTTCACTTTTAAAAAGTCCTTTGATGGATCAGCTTGTCCGAATAATTTACTATTTGGTTGGGGCGAAATTGCACATCATCGATGGTATAACCTAATTACTAGTGAAAAATCTGAAAGCTTTTTGACACTTATCGTCAAATCTCACAGAGATCCTAATTGACTAGAATAAGTTCGATAAGGGGTGGTATTCCTCATGTAGATGAGATTTTTACGGGCTGAGCCGTTTACATGAAATAACTACATTTGCGATAGACTGAAGATATTTGAGTTGGGATGCTAGCCAGTAAGTGTTATCTGACAAGCTATTCTGCTGCGATTATTCTCCCCCTCTCTTACTTACCAGCTGACACGATAGTATACATACTCTTTGCTAATTTTGGTAGTATAAATGAGAAGCGCGAATTTCCAATGAAAACTGCAGTGGTAATTTTATTATCTTTGTGCTTTTCTACTGTGAAGCTCAGTTCAAGCTTTTTCCGGACGTGGCTATCTGGATGAACATTCTGTGCCGTCTCAAGAGGTCAGGAAACCAGGATGGCTGTTTGTTATATCTGTTTTATTTCAAAGAAACATGGCAAATAAGACGCCTTTATTTTGTGTTTCATTCAGTGGATCTTATGTTATGCAACTTGGCAAACGAGCACTCCGTGCCTGGTATGGCCATTTGGTGTCTACCACCTGTTTTCCATGTCTGGTTCACACTACCGGAGGTCCACAAACAAACAACACATGTAAGACTGGAATGAATGTTGCACCCTACGTGACTTGGACCATACAGTTGAAGTCATCAATTCGTGCTGCTTGGATTTATTTGTCCATATTTGTCATGTTCACTTGTGTCATCGCCATAAAGTTAAAAAAATATGTATGTGCCACTGAGAGCATGCATCTTCCAAAACAGAGGTCGTTGCTCCAGGCACGGTCTCTCATGGGGGAAGGGACTGCTGCAACGGAACATTGCCACGCACTGACACAATGAGCACTAGCTTTGATCACCTGGATAATTTTCACAAAACTTAGTGAATTAAAAGTTCGACGAGTGCTCATTTGCGCCAGCTATGGTGTTTGGGGTTTAAACTAGTTGGCTGTGGATCACATATACAAAATTAAAGCACCATCTTGAAGGGCGTCTTTTGAGGCAATTAGATTTTCTTCGGCGGAGTCTGACAGTGAAGGTAGAAGGAAGTGCTAAGTTCAGCTGGAGAACTCTCACAGATGAAAAGCTGTTTTTAACATTTCAAAAAACTAGTTCTTGCCATTCAGCTTGGAAGTTTCGTCTTAGCACAACATGAGGCACAGGACCTCTGAAAACGAGAGTTTCAAATATACATTGTGTTCTACCACATGCAGGATTAGGGTCAGTGACCATAAATGTAATACAGATGACGTCAAGCGAGTGTGGATTAACAGCCACAGGTTGCTCCGAAAAGTCTATTAGACAAGAGCAAGACGCAAAGGTTGAAACAATTGCTTCCACCTGCCCGTCGTTCTGACCACCACCAAGATTGAAACTGAGTTTATTACTTCATCATCCATTAGGTAACTTACCCTTCGGCTTCTTCCTTGCTGACTGTATGAAAACGCAGACGAAGATCTATTTCCTTCTTCTCCGTAACCAGTATTCTTCCGGACAACATACTGCCACGATGCTTTTGCTCCTCAGGCTAGCCATATGCAGATCGAAATGTCCTTTGCTACTAGAACCCCTCTTGCTTCGCTTAATAAAGGTAGATTTTTATTAAACCATATGCGTTTTAACTCCGCAGTATGTTTAACGTGGTATTTTCTCAGTAAAAGAGTAAGCATTAACTACCTTCCTAGAAATATGAATATCAGTGTGACGATGAGCGTCAAAAATCGTACGCGGCTGACTGACTGCGCCAACGGATCATAACCCACAGCTTCACTGGGAAAGTTGAATTACTTGGATAAAATGGAGCGCTGCGTGCCCAAATGTGACTTTTGAAATTGCCACTTTACTCACCACACTCTATTTTACCTTTCAAGTTATTTAGGGCTCAAAAAGCATTTAGTAGTGCAGAGTAGTTCAAGTTGTATTAGTGACTACGTAACTGGAGAATAGTACGCCACCATAGGTGATCAAATGATGCTATTATGAACATCACCATTGGGTTTCACAGCCATTTGCTGTACATTCAAGTGTCTGTTCCCTGTCTGTGACGTATAGCGGTGTGGTTGCCTCATTTTGGGTTCTGCAGCCTGGAATTCTTATATTTGCGGTGATTGCACACGTTGGGTTTTCGCCATTACTTTGTCTCTAGCCCTCGAAGTATGCCAGGTGCATTGGGAAGGGCATTGACGTTCTTACAGTGATTCGCTGAAGTACTGTACCCAACCGTTCAAATTTAAAGGCGATTTATTCAAAGGTGTTCCTTATAATCTCTCTTTACGGTAAAATTTCATCAACTGCGCCAACATTTTGGAGGATAAATGTAATGATTTCCACTGTTGTGGTACCTGAAGAGTCCTGTAGTTTATCGGTCTAGAAAGGTTTATTATCCGCTCTCTGAATCGCTTTCTAATCTGGTGCTGGATACTGTGCTTTTTTATAGCTCACTTGGCCTTCAGGAAACGACGTTTCTTTGAATTGCGGTTTGGGATTAGTTTCTTCAAACACGATGCACAAGTTTTGCGAGTGATATTGTTTGCTCCTATGCAGCAGTGGCGTCGTCCAACGCGGCGTTTGTTTAGAACCGCCAAAAGTTGAACAGTATTTAGTCTATCGGTAAAGCTGTACAATATTATGTGAAATTCTTGAAACCCACGAAACGACGCGTATGCAGTTTTTCGAGGTCTTTCTTGCAAGTTGTCTTGCAGGTGACCAGATACCATGTGAAGTCACTAAACTAGATACATCTGTTCGAACCTTTAAAAAGTCACCAATCGGGAGGATGGAAAATGTTTTATTTCAGTCAGTTTTCTGTAACCAACATGGAACTAGTTCACTATTATCCTTCACAGACGAAAACACTGGTAGTCGATTAGAAGGTCCAAAATTCTGAAGCAAAGCGTTTGGCAATATGCCTGTATATGTCAGTTGTAACAAATCGGTGAGGCTCTGAGAGAATTCCCGTTGCCTGTATCATTTCTTCATTGCAGTGGCCTCGTGCGTTTAGGTCAAACAGTCTCCACGAGTAACAAGAACACAAAGAATCACGACGAATTTCTTGATGATGACGGAATGTTATAAAGCGTTTCTCTTTGCCACCAGTGCATCCAGCAGTGCCTGTCTTGGTTCTTGTATGAATATAAGGCATCAGCCAACCTACCTTAGCTATGTCAGTCTAACTGATAGGGGTCCAATCAAGTGGGTTTATTCGGTAGTACAAAAACTCTGTGAGAGAGTGAGGTTACCAGTTATGCAGTAGCAAGGCAATGATTCCAAGAACTACTTCAAAAGCCAGAGCAGCAACAACAGCTAATGGACGTGACTGAGCCACTTCAACTGGCAAGGCCCTCGAGGTAATCCTATCTTATTCTTGGGGATCTTCATCCACTGAGGAGCGCTGACAGTTTTTCCAGTTCAATGAGGTCTCCTAAGTGCAAGGCCGTCTCAGAAAGTATTCTGTGCCAGAATACATGTGGCATTTTTTTACAATACATATGAATACCTTCGACTGATTCTAATTGCAACTGCAATTAACGGGAAACTATGTCAACACACAAGGCCCGCGTGAATAGTTCAAGAATACTGTCCTCTGACCGGCTGGAGGAAATCTACCTCTTAAAGACAGGAGCTCTGGGGCTTACTTCAAGATTGGTCGCCTGGGAACGTGAAATACATTATCTGCATTAGTTATGTAAATTGGTAAAATATTTTCTGTCTGACCATGTGAATTGGCGCGCAACAATAAGCAGTTTTGCGTTAATGAGTTGGCCGCACACAATTTCAGTAAATCAGCTTAAGGTAGCTCAGTAGTTAAAGCGCATACTTGCTGACCAGAGGTTCCACGCTTGGTACCCAAACACTGCATCTTGACTGCTTTTGCCTAAGCTTGGCAACCTGTTAGTATCTGTCCTTGCACCTCCTCCGGTTAGCGTGGCAGATATGTGCCGGAAGGCTATCACAGCTGAATGGCAAACCATATTTTTTTATTCAGCTTCATCAGTGCAAACGAGCTGTTTCCGTAAAAGAGTGGCTCTCGCTTTTTATACGAATTTTAAGTAAGCTGAACTATCAAAGCATTCACTGTTCGTGTATCAGCATATCTTTTCGATCAAAAGTGGAAAATTCGGAAGTAGCTTCATCGTGCTCCAAGCAATCAGCTGCGTGAGTCGGCGAACTGATCTTCATTTACGTTTAACAATCCCACAATCAACGACTAATCGATCCCTTATTTTGTGGTTATGAAGGTTCTGCATCTATTCCGGGGATGAGTTTGGATAACACCAACTTTGAATAAATTGGCACCAACACTCTGATTTTATTACATTCATACTACAAAAACGTAAACAACAGACTACACTTCAAATCTCCAAGTTCGGGTGAGGCCACTTTCATATCAAGCCCTTTGAATGGTTGAGCGTAGATGGCCGTCGGTGCGCTTGTGTACGGGGTGCCCTGGCCATGGAGTGGGTGTAAACTTTCTGTGTCCCTATTTGACCTTTCTCCGGCACATGATGAAATCGAACGTGATTCAGACGTGGGGGCATAATCGCACGGCTCTGTTTCATATGATTGTTCCGCTGCGCAGTAGGTTGATGCGCAGCCGTATTAGACCCGATGTAATTTGTCGAAGAAACAGTTGACTGTAGTTTACCCAGAGTACAGTATCATAAGCATACTACAAATGCAATTAGAATATAAGCACGTAAATTTGCATAAATATCGCAATTCCACCTCCACCAATTGGGACTATGAACATCAGCTTAGGTTCACACTAACCCAAATTTTTCGGCAACAAAACCATCCGCTAGAGCAAGGAATTTTGCATTCAGACACTCTCTTTTGAGTAGTCGTCCTCTTGCCTTGGCGTAGTCATTTCAGTTAATCTGAGTTGGAGATGGAATCCACTCGACATGAGCTTCGCTCTTACCAGAGCACACCAGCATTTTATACTTCTGGATGTGTCCTGATTCAAACTCGGGATACTTTAAATGTAATTACTTGTCATTACTATTTCATCAGCACACAGTGACCTACAATCACGCCTAGACAGGGAAGTCATGTGAACCTAATTTCTGCGAATAATACACACTTACAACCGACGTTTTCTTAAGGTTCATGGGTATTTAGGCTTCATTTATGAAAAGCATGATGGAAGAATTGCCAAAACAACTGCCTAACTAGAATTAGCCATAGATACTAAGTAACAACCGTGAAAAGGACTTCAGAGTCATACACGCCTTAAATATTTCTTATGACGAAACACTAATGTATAGTTCCGTTTAACAATTCCGATCTAATCGACCTGACGAGATCAGCTCTCTGGTTTCTGGCCGCGAACATCTCGTTTTATATGGTAGCAAATTGTGACGACTGAAGGTGATCCAGCCTCAAGCGTAAACAGGCAAATAAGTGTTAAAGGTTGTGTTCTTCAGCCTTACACATTTAAGTTGACTTCTAAAATATTTCTGCGACCTTGGTTGTACTCTGCAAAATTTAAAAGATAAATGGTTTTTACGGTTCTGAACTATTCTTTGCAACAAACAGAGTGAGACGTTACTTGCATTTTTAAAAATCCTAGTATTTAAAATTGATCGCAGAAAATACAGGATGATTACTGCGCACGCTCACCTGTTCAAGTGGGGTAATTTAGGCTCAATCAGTGTGGGCTGGGACCATCCTTCCCTCATCTATTGACGCCAGGCTTTCAAACTCTGGATTGCCAAGGGCGGATATTGTGGATGAACTCTATTAAGCGCAGAATTGAAGTACAGCGCACAAACTAAGATGTGAGCTTACCACTATAATCGTATAATGAACATGTAAAATTTTCCAAACGAAAACTGTGCTGCCCGGTTTGTTTGATTTATCACACAATAACAAAGAAAGTAGACCTAGAAATTTGTGTAAAAATTCAGCCAGCACTGCATCAAACATCACAGTTCTTCCCACGAACGTTTTAAAATTTGACATCTGTGTTGAGTTTGACGTCAACGTGTCATATGTGAACGGTTCAGTTGGAATAAAATAGACCAGAATGACAGTAGGGCATAAACCAGTACTCTTAAAATGCACTGATGTTCTGTTGGAATTCACTAGCGCAGCATTTATTCAAGCGTGACATACAGAAACGGATGCATCCTCAGATGATGCCCAACTGCCGAGTGCACCCGACGAAAAACAACTCACTGAAAACAATGTGTGCGCGATGTCAAGCGAGACAGAGAAAACAATTGCTGTTTGACACCAGCGAACAATGATTCCGCCGATCAACATTTACTCTAATGCTTCAAGCGGATGATTCATCATTTGAGTGAGGTTGGCTGAAAATGAGGAACCTGCTGCGAATAATGAAACGGAATTACGGTAGCTAGCAAAAAACAATCTATGCCCACGAGAGAGATATTGTGCTTTCCTAATCGATTGGAATTATGGGTAGCAGAAAGCGACTTATGAAATTGGGTCACGGCATTTGCAAATTCCACGATAAATACAACTCATCCACAATCG